ATTTACAGTATTTACGGCTCGAAATGGCCTAAATCAGTTCTAACTTGCCCATTTTTCATGATTTTAGCTCAATGCTTGATTTAACTCAATGATTACACCTAAGATACTTAGTTATGAATATTTATGCCTTGAAACGACCTAAAAAAAGCAATTTCACAAGTTTGAGGTTCATTTACAGTATTTACGGCTCGAAATGGCCTAAATTAGTTCTAACTTGCCCATTTTTCATGATTTTAGCTCAATGCTTGATTTAACTCCTATATTACACATAAGATACTTAGTTATGAATATTTATGCCTTGAAACGACCTAAAAAAAGCAATTTCTCAAGTTTGAGGTTCATTTACAGTATTTACGGCTCGAAATGGCCTCAATCAGTTCTAACTTGCCCATTTTTCATGATTTTAGCTCAATGCTTGATTTAACTCCTATATTACGCCTAAGATACTTAGTTGTGAGTATTTATGCCTTGAAACGACCTAAAAAAAGCAATTTCACAAGTTTGAGGTTCATTTACAGTATTTACGACTCGAAATGGCCTAAATCAGTTCTAACTTGCCCATTTTTCATGATTTTAGCTCAATGCTTGATTTAACTCCTATATTACACCTAAGATACTTAGTTATGTATATGTAAATGAAGTATCTTCGTGATTGGTGCAGGGAGAGACCCGTTGTGAACTTCTTCACCCGGGCGAATCATATTGACCTTTGCATGTTGTTGCCTATGGTAGTGCACAACCGGCCGAACAAGGAACGGTCCATCTTCGACCTCTTCTGCCTGAGCATTATTCTGTCGGGATCCATTCTGTGGTTCCCGGGTCCGAGGACCTCTTAATACCTGCGCCCGTGGAGGATGAGGAGTTCACTACACTCTGGGCAGCAAAAGGTAGTTTTGTGCAATGGCCATCTGCTTGGATACGGTTGATGAACCAGGTAATTTAGATTTAGATTTCACGCGTTAATCCTTTCTTCCCGAAAATTGTGATGAAAATCTTTTCTAACCATTTGTGTGATCATACTTATTCGCCATCGAGGAAAAGCCAAACGCCAAAGAAAAGGGTGGAGGGGCCAAAGAACAGAAGTGAACATGGCTCGGTGAGTGGAAAGGTGTCGATGAAGAGCCCTTCACTAGGTTCAGCTACGCAAGCTACTCCATTAGTTGAAGACACGGTGCTTCAATCGCTGTCCCAGGAGTTAGCTTATTTGCACAACCGTGTTTGCGTGTTGCCTGATTACGGCCCCATCCAAATTCAACTTCCTAAGGAAATGTTCCACTATGATGATGATGCAACGGCATGGCTATTCAAAGAAGATGTGAAGGAAATCTCTAAGCGGTGCAATGCTTAACATTTCCCTCATTCAAATATGCATGAGGTAATTCAACTGGTACTCAATTTATGTTATTCAGTTTAGTGGTATTCAATTTCTAAGCGGTACAATGCTTAACATTTCCCTCATTTTTTATCATGCATGCAGAGCACTCCAGGAGCAAATATGGGAGCAAGAATCTCCTTGTCAAGTTGGGTGGTTATGCCCTGAGCAGATGTCCACTGCTAGAATCTTAGGCAACTCTGCTGACGTGTTGTACTATGCTGAACGGGGTATCAGGCAATCAGTGAATGCGGGAGACAAGTTTATATTTGTCCCGTATTATGAGAAGTACGTCTGATTATGCTAGTCAAGTTCATTTGTTTTCCCAGTTTATTTGTTGTAATAGGCTAACTATTGATTTGTTTATCTCGTGTGTAGTTATCATTGGACCCTACTTATGATTTGTGTTTCTAGTAACACAATCTTCTACTTTGACTCTGCTCGGTTGCCTCAAGTAAGAAAGCGCCTCGTGAGGTCCATACTACAAAAGTAAGTATCTAGTTTGTTTCAATTCTTGTTATTGATTTTCATATCTTAACTCATATGTATTGATTATACTAGTCAAACTTGAACTTATTACTTTGATTTTTCGTAGTACCATGAAGAAGATAAATCCTCGATCTCCTGGAGGTCCTACATGGAAAGCACCCAAGGTAATTCACCCATGATGTTGTGATTTTCTTACTTTACAATTCTTAAGATGTCGCTTATTTGCTATGTATTTTAATTCATGTGCTTTGTTCCTCATGCTAGTGCGCACAACAGAAAAACGGAGTTGACTGTGGCCTATACGTGATGAGATTCATGTATGTCATAGTGATGAGTCATTGTACAGACACACGTCAGCTTGAAGAGGTATGCCATTTTGGTTTAAATTGCGTCCCAAAACCTCTTACTTGCTCTTTTCTTGTAATCTCAAGCATTAGTCACCTATAACTAAGTGATAATGACATGTTTTAACTAGTTATGAGTTCAATAGACAAGAATTATGTAGAAAATAGGCATCCTCGTAGCCAAAATGGCCTTACTTGAGCCATTTTAGTTGAAATTGCGTCCCAAAACCTCTTACTTGCTCTTTTCTTGTAATCTCAAGCATTAGTCACATTTAACTAAGTGATAATGACATGTTTAAGTAGTTATGAGTTCAATAGACATGAATTGTAGAAAATAGGCATCCTAGTAGCCAAAATGGCCTTACTTGAGCCATTTTTGTTGAAATTGCGTCCCAAAAACTCTTACTTGCTCTTTTCTTGTAATCTCAAGCATTATTCACATTTAAATAAGTGATAATGACATTTTTTAACTAGTTATGAGTTCAATAGACATGAATTGTAGAAAATAGGCATCCTAGTAGCCAAAATGGCCTTACTTGAGCCATTTTGGTTGAAATTGTGTCCCAAAACCTCTTACTTGCTCTTTTCTTGTAATCTCAAGCATTAGTCACCTATAAATAAGTGATAATGACATATTTTAATTAGTTATGAGTTCAATAGACAAGAATTGTAGAAAATAGGTATCCTAGTAGCCAAAATGGCCTTAGTTGAGCCATTTTGGTTGAAATTGCGTCCCAAAACCTCTTACTTGCTCTTTTCTTGTAATCTCAAGCATTATTCACATTTAACTAAGTGATAATGACATTTTTTAACTATTTATGAGTTCAATAGACATGAATTGTAGAACATAGGCATCCTAGTAGCCAAAATGGCCTTACTTGAGCCATTTTGGTTGAAATTGCGTCCCAAAACCTCTTACTTGCTTTGTTCTTGTAATCTCAAGCATTAGTCACGTTTAACTAAGTGATAATGACATGTTTAAACTAGTTATGAGTTCAGTAGACATGAATTGTAGAAAATAGGCATCCTAGTAGCCAAAATGGCCTTACTTGAGCCATTTTGGTTGAAATTACGTCCCATAACCTCTTACTTGCTCTTTTCTTGTAATCTCAAGCATTAATCACCTATCAATAATTGATAATGACATGTTTTAACTAGTTATGAGTTCAATAGACAAGAATTGTAGAAAATAGGCATCCTAGTAGCCAAAATGGCCTTACTTGAGCCATTTTGGTTGAAATTGCGTCCCAAAACCTCTTACTTGCTCTTTTTTTGTAATCTCAAGCATTAGTCACTTATAACTAACCCCAATTATTATTATTTCACTTCTACTAACTCACGTTTTGTGTATTCTAAGTTTTGCAAGGGGCAAACGGGACTTCCATACACGAGCGAGGAACTCCATGTTATTCGGGAGATGTTGGCGACCTACATCACATTTAATTTTTAAATATCGTCATATATTTTTGTACTATATCATCTCTTCATCAATCCTAGGCTTAGATTATTAATTATGTAGTATACATGAAACATTTTTCTAATTTATATCATCTCTTGCATGCGATTGTTATTATTAATTATTTATGTTTTGTTATTAATGTTATTAATTATTGTTACTATTATCATATATAATAATAATAGTAATTATTATTATTATTATTATTACTATTATAATATTAATAATTAGTATTATTATTAATATAATAATAATAATTATTATTATTATTAATAATAATATTGCAGCCAAAAAAAAAAAAAAAAACAGGTGAATATTAGTGCAGCCAAAAAAAAAACAATACAGAACATTGGCAACGGTTAACCGTTGCCAATGTTTTAAAAAAAAAAAAAAAGGCGCGCCATTGGCTTTGTCAACGGTTAACCGTTGCCAATTTTTTTGGGATTTGGCAACCCTCAAATACTCAACGGTTCAAAACCGTTTCCTTTGGGGGGGGTATGAACCGTTGCCAATTTGCTGGTTTCGTGTAGTGGAAGAGATTTACTCGTAGAGTTTCCAAGCCAATCTCCACTGGAAGGACGGCTTCGGATCCATACACCAGCTCAAAAGGTGAATGCCTCATTGCCTCTTATTCTGTTGTCCGAAGTGACTAGAGGGTTCCTGGAAGCTCCTCTATCCACTTGGACTTTTGGTCTTCAACTCTCCTCTTGAGAGCGTTGAGGATTTGTTTATTCGCAGCTTCGGCTTGACCATTACTCTGCAGATGGCAAACTGCAGAATATGCCAATTTAATACCGAACTGATATGTGTATCGCTTCAGCGGTAGATTGTTAAATTGCCTCCCATGATCGAAGACAAAAACCTTCGGAATTCCAAAGCAAGTGATAATGTTTTGCCAGATGAATTTCCTGATTGTTTTCTCTGTAATGTTTGAAGTTGCTTCGACTTCGATCCATTTGCTGAAATAGTCTATTCCGACTATTAGCCATCTTTTTTGATATGGAGCATCAGGAAATGGTCCCAAAATATCTAATCCCCATTGAGAAAATGGGAGGGATTAAGGATTGGCTGAAGATCTCGCAATGGCCGATGGATGACTGGTGCGAACTTTTGACATTTCTCGCATTTTCTGACCAGCTCCTTTGCATTAATGATCATGGTTGGCCGTAAATATCCAGCCCTTAGCGGTTTATGGGCTAAGGCTCTTCCCCCTATGTGGTTTCCGCATATACCGAAATGAATTTCCTGAAGGATATAACAGCATCTGTGGGACCCACGCATTTCAATAGTGGGCTATGATGTGAACTCACTCTATCCGTTCATTATGAAAAAATGTCCCATGCCAGGAGGTAAGCCAGTCTGGGATGGTAATCTGGTTGATAAGGACATAGATAGCCTATTTGGATTTATAGAGGCTTTTGTGTCATGCCCTTCTTCAGTCAAAAAACCTTTTCTCCCCGTTCGGGGAAAAGATGGTACACTTCTCTTCCCCACGGGTGATTTTGTTGGTGTATACTATAGCGAGGAGTTAAAGTATGCAAGAGACATAGGCTACACTGTGATTCCAGTCAGTGGGTACCTCTTCGAGAAGAAGGAAAGCCCTTTCATAGAATATGTGAATTCTCACTTCGATAGTCGATTACAGGCAAAGAAAGATGGAAATGAAGCTTTGTCATTTGTTTATAAAATCCTTATTTCGCTCTATGGAAGATTTGGTATCAACCCAAATAGCACTAAAACGGAGTTATGCGATAGCGAGCACTATCACTTTTTGATGAAACAAGATTCCTTCATTGGTTTTCATCCGATTATAGAAAACCTATACATGGTATCCTATCATACTGTTACGGCTGATGATAACATTCATTGGGCTCAGCCTAAGAACTCCGCAGTTCAACTTTCCGCCGAAATCACTGCATGCGCTAGGATCTACATGCACCCATTTATATCAAGGGATGACTGCTACTACACAGACACAGACTCTATCGTTCTTGCCAATCCTCTTCCAGAGGGCTTAATATCTTCCAAAGTCTTAGGGTTGTTTAAATTAGAAGATAAAATCAAAGAAGGATACTTTTTGGCGCCAAAAGCATATGGCTATATTTCCGAAGAAGACACAAATTTAATTAAGTTCAAAGGACCAGCAAAACACCTGGTGGATATTTCTTGGTTCAGAGAACAGCTCGCTAACCCTTCTCGTAGGATGAAAGTCCAAATCAAAAATGAATTCGAGATTGATTGGGACAACCAGACTGTCGGTGTTAAAGAATATGATTACAGTTTGGGGATTAAACTGAACAGTAAGAGGATTACTCAACCTGATGGAGAGACTTTACCCATTCAAGTCAATGATATGTGTGGGGTAGCCAAATCACTTTTTAAAAAGCTAATGAAACTGCAGACAACGAATACTCTTCTTAATGAGAAGTTGTCTCAGAAGGAAAGAGAGAGTGAAAAGAGAATGGATGGTGTGATAGTAGAAGAGATAAAAAAGATTGAATATTTGGGTATTAATATAGAGACTACTCTTATTGAAGAAAGCACTCAATTAGATAAAGAAGAAAGCGATGTAACTAAGACAGATTCTAAGAAACCAGATACGTAGCTTAAGAGTACACTTCGTTAACCCACGCTAGTTTAATAAAACCATATTGTCTGGCCAGAAGGATTTCAGAAGCTCTCCTCTTAAGACGATGAACCTTGAACTGATTCTCTTCATCTTAGAGGCTAAGTTCCTGTCCTCCGGAATTTCTCCTCAAAGTTTGTAAGCTAGGATGGGTTCCATCCAGCTTGGCTCATGTGCGACACAGCAAACCTCAGGTTCTTAGTCCACACTTCTTTCTCGGCGCACTTCCACAATATACAGATTGGTTCAGCTCGGTTAGAGTTGAACTTGCAAATTTGGAGAGTGCGTCGGCTTGTGCGTTCTGACCCCTTGGGATCAGCTCGACTTCAAAAGTTCTCAACTTCAATGACAGTTTTGATCTTGGCAAGGTAAGCAATCATTGAGGGCTCTTTGGCCTCATACTCACCTCGGATCTGATTTGCGACAAGCTAAGAGTCTGTCTTTAAACAGACATGCTCGGATTCCAATGCTATGCACGACTCTAAACCAACAATTGCTGCTTCATATTCGGATTCGTTGTTGGAAGCCTTGAATGAGAATTTTAGTGCATATTTAAAGGATTTGCCTTTGGGAGAGGTTATGACGACCCTTGCCCTCGAACCATTCACGGTTACCACTACTATGTATGCAACTTTTATGAGTAGGGGGTAGCGTGTCTCGGCATCTGTCAGAGTGTAGCAGACAAAATAGATCGGTTGCTGAATTTTTTCTTCTTCCCTTAGCAACACCGCGCTTATAGTGGTTGCACTGACCGCCACATATAAGTACAAGGTTTCTCCTTTAACTGGTCTTGCCAGTGTTGGGAGGTGAGCTAGGCGCTCATGGAGCTGCTTAAAGGCCTCTTTTAGCTTGTCTTCCCCGATGAGCTTTTTTGATTTTGAGAGTTTAAGCGCTTTGAAGAAAGGCAACCCCTTGTCCGAGGCTCTAGAGATTAACCTGGAAATGGCAGCCATTATGCTAGTGAGACGCTGAACATCCCTTTTTGTTTTTGGCTCAAGAAGATCCAGAGCTGCTTGAAATTTGGCGGGATTAGCATTAATCCCCCTTTTGTTGACCGTGAAACCGAGGAACTTGCTAGACTTCACGCCGAAGACACACTTCTTCGGATTCAGCTTCATTTTATGTTTTCTAAAGGTGGCGAAGGATTCGGCCAGATTCGTGACATGGTCTGTATCATTTTTGCTTTTGATGATAGAATCGTCAACATAGGCTTCCATGTTACGGCCCTTTTGCTCGGCAAAGACCTGATCAACCAGCCTTTGATAAGTTGCCCCCACATTTTTCAATTCGAAGGGCATCATTTTATAGTTGTACCCCGACGCTTGTAACGAAGGCCGCTTTTGCGTGGTCGTCGGGGTGCATGAAAATTTGATGGTACCCCAAGAATGCGTCCATAAAACTAAGCAGAGCATTCCCACTCGTTGAGTCGACTAATTGATTGATCCTTGGGAAGGGATACTGACAAGGCAAGGGATGAGCATGCCCTATTCAGATCTGTGAAGTCAACGCACATTCTCTAGGTGCCATTTACCTTCTGAACCATCACCACATTATCCAACCATTCTGGATACTGACAAGGCTCAATAAAGCCAGCATCCAGAAGTTTTTTGACTTTCGCTGCGATGTCCTGGTTCTTTTGAGCGGAGTAATTCCACTTCTTTTGCTAAACTGGCCGACATGTTGGGTCGACATTAAGCTTATGAAAAATGAGGTTCGAATCAATCCCAGGCATTTCTATTGTCGAGAACGCGGACACATATTTTTTTTCCCGAATGAGTTGAATTAGGTTAACACGAACATTTGAATCAAGTCCTAGTCCAATGCTAATACATCTTTCAGAATTCCCTTCGGTCAACTCTATTGACTCAGTTTGATTGTCCAACTCCATGGCTTGGGCACTGGACTCTTCTTGCTCAGGCCTGATATCAATATCAGCAGGCTTTCCAGACTTTTGGCTGATGCTCTAAGTCTTTCGGCTTAGATGAGGAATCAGCCTTTTCTTTCCTTAAAGATTTTTATTTTGCTTGGGCTCTTTAGGTCGAAGCACTTAAGCCTTTAGGCCTTTTTGCGCAACAGTCCTGCTTTTTTTTCCTCCTCTTCATCCCGGTTGTCGCGTTGACCTTTGGATGTTTGAGGTGGTTGCATCTTCTAGCCTTCTTTTGGCTGCCCTTTATTTTTGGTTGTACGTTGAGATGACTCCTTGAATGTTGTGAATGAGGGGTTTCCCCACGATCACGTTGTACACAGATGAGACATCCACGACCAGATATTCGGCCATGGTGTTCCGTGCTGCTCGGCCTTTGCCGATGGTGACAGGAAGAAGGATCTTCCCATCGGGATATGATGAAGAGCTGTTGAATCCGGATACCGGGTAGGGTACTGGAGTCAGGTGCTTGGCCTCCAATCTCAGCTGGTCGAATGCCCCTCGAAAGAGGATATTCACCCCGTTACCACCGTCGACGAGAGATCGCCAGACTTCGCGATTTGCAATGCCCGTCACAATTACTAACGGGTCTTCATGGGGGTATACCACCCGCTAGCAGTTTTCGGCTATGAATAGAATGTTCGGCACTGGAGACCGAGGCGCTCGGATGTCTGCGTGATTCATTAATGGGTCAAGCCCCTCAAGTGACGTTTCACTGTATTTCGAGAAGTTCCCCCGGAAATGACAAGGATATCAAGATTTTTATTTGCCTTGTGATTTAACCTTTTTCCGATAGAAATCAAGTTCTTGCCGAGGATCCTTTTCGGCTTTTTTCTCTTCGCGGCGCTCCACGAGATACTTTTTCAAGTAGCCCATTTGAACTAGATCCTCGCTCTGATCTTTCAGCTAAAGGCAGTCCTCGGTGCGATGCCTAGTGGATTCATGGAACTCGCACCATTGGTCCTTGCCCTTTTGCTGATGCCATTGTGGGAGTGGCCTTGGTTTCTTGAACCTCCCCTCGTCTTTGGTTGTGCTATAGATTTTAGCACGAGGAAGAGCGAGAGGAGTGTAAGAATCGTACCTCCCTGTATAGGGGGTCCTATCTTTTTTCGGCTTAGGTGCCAAGGACGGTTCTGAGGCTTTCGCCTTCCCTTTCCTCAGCCCTTGGCCTTCTGACACCTATCCTTTTGCTTTCCTAGCCCCGGATTGGGATTGGGATTTTGTCTTGTTCCACTCTTCTGGTCGGATGTATATATCTGAGGCGTCCAAGGCTTCCTCCAAGGTCTGCGGGGGGGTGCATGACCATGAAGTCAAGGAACTTGCATGCCAGCTTGTAAGCAATTCCGAAGTGCAAACACGGCTAGGCCCTGATCCAGACTTGTGATTCTAGACGACTCGTTGCTGAAGAGAGTCAGATAGTCTCGGAGGCTTTCATCCTCCGCTTACTGCTGACCCATCAGTTCTGTAGTTGTTTTCTCTCGGCGATTTGCCGTAGAAAACTTTCTCTTGAATTTGTTGGAAAGGTCCCTCCAACCGGTTATAGAGCCTTCCTTCACCCCCTTGGTGATCCACGCTTGTGCAACACCTTTGAGGGTCGTTGGAAAATACTTACACCAAGTAGCCTCGGACCTAGGGTTAAGGTGCATGTGCCCCTTGTAAGAGGCAATGTGGTCCTTTGTGTCCGAAATACCGTCGTAAGTGATGTGCGTCAGGATTTTCACTGTCGGCACCTGCTCTTCCAATATCCAACTTTGGAAGGGCGAGCTGGTAGGGACCATTACGGCCTTCCCTTTTCGTCTAGCCGTTGGGACCTCGCTTCTCCCTCTTAGAGAGGTGGAAGTGGTTTTTGTCCTTGGCTGAGACGGTTCAGGGTAGGGCTCGGTTCCCTCTGGGTAAGTGAGACGACTATGCACGCTCACCTCCCTTAAACCTAAACGTTCGTGAACGTTTAGGCGAGCAGGCTCTTGCCACTCAAAGGTGGTATTGCTGCTTCTATAGCTTTTGGAGTCCTGGGTTCTAGAATCATCAAAGAACTGGGGGTTCCTTTTTCGTTCCCGCTCGGTCCTCCAAGTATCCTCCTTGTACTTCTCCTCGAGCTCCCTAATAGAGGGAGTTCGACCACCCTACTCTTGGCCAATCCTCCTTCTCAGGTTTCTTGACGGAAGAAGTGAGGGATCACGAGGAGGAGGAAGGTTGCCTGCTTGGGTCTTTAAGAAGTCCATGCAGACTGCTATGGCTCTCGCTACTTCCTTTGTTCTCGGCTGAGATTGAGAATGTTGTTTTCGGCTGAGACGGAGAATGTGAACTTTGCGGAGGAGGACTCCTCGCATTTGATTGATTTGGACAAGACGAACTTGTCGGCTGACGAGTATGATGGGACGGTGACTTCTCCAAGGCTTCCCTTTCCTGAGAAGAGGGAGCTTTTGAAGAAGGAGAAGAAGGTTCCGGTGATGATGGAATCGGTTGATTCACTCTCACCATAATGTGGTCTTTCCTCCAAGAGGAATGACCATTCTTCTTAGCACTCTTGGCGCTTTTACCGCTCTTAGTCATGTTTCTACTAAGAGTGATTGAATTTGGGCTAATTTTTTTGTATCTTCCCCACAGACGGCGCCAAATTGTTTTGAATGAAAACAATAGGACCTTCACAGGCCCTTTTTAAGGGAGAAGACTGATCTGAGTCCAAGTGATGACTGGGCCGAGGATTTCCTGCACAGCAAACACACGTAAACTAGTCTCGGGAGTGGTTGCCGAGGAAGGCCCCTCCGATGCTAAAGTTTAGTTCAGTGTATTGAGAGTAAATGCTATGCAAGAGGATTAATTGCTTGAGGCTGATTATGAATGAATGATAAATGAGACAATTGATGACTTTTATACCTTTGCTCAATAGAAGAGGATTGAGCTTTTGAATTCAGATGGGCTTGCCATGCTGACTGGGATTGATTGACTTTAGCATGCTTTGGAGAGTTGAACCTTGATTTTGGGCTTTTGAAATTAAATTATTTGGGCCAGCCCAATCAAGTTAACTGAATTGGACCCAAACACTTGTAAAGCA